TAAGGCTAGAGGACGAAATAGCTCTCCAGTACTCCCCTCTAGTATTCTATGGTTCTCTAACTGCAATCAGTTTGTGGAAAAACTTGAAATCATTCGGATCCCTTCAAACTAACACTTCAAAATTCTAAATGGTTATTTTACACACTTAAAGACGGTTTAAACCTAAGAATCTGTAGTCTATGAATAGGGTTCAAGCTTAATCATTAAATGAAAATGATAAAAGTGAAGTTGAATACCAGTGTCAATATAATGGTGAGAGTTTATAGTATTCCTCATTCATACATCACTTACCCATTGTCATCACATTAATGCATTAATGTCACACAACACAAATAAATACATAAAAAGTGGTCAGTGTTCGCACTCTGTCCAGCTGATTACCTAATTTTTTATTTGATATTCCTAAGAAAAAGTGTCACAGTCAAATAAGACACGATTGTGTGAACAAAAGTAATCTGGAATTCTAGTTAAATTCAAGTTTTAATTATTATTATTATTATTATTATCCAAAGACTTGAATGATACAACAGCAAGTTCAAACTATCAAACACGCTCAACGTGATATTCATTCACACTCAGATATTTTCACACTTCTTGATTATTTAACAAATATTGAATGTTTTGTATTTTCAAAGATATTGAATACAATACACTAATATAACAACGTGATGGAGTTGACTGATCCAGTCAATAAATGCAGATGATTTTAGAGAGAGAGAGGAAGGGAGAGGGAGAGAAAATTGACACATAGTATTGTGCAAAAATAGGTGAAAGTGGAGTTTCAGTAAAAAATTAGCGACCTAATAAAGTTTAAGTGGTCGTGGTCCACTCGGTCTAGAGTCAAGACAAATACTTGCCAATGAAATTGGCTGCTGCCAGTTTCGCTATAATTACGAATTGGTAGAGGTTGGAATTCATGGGCTGGCCACTGAGTCGCGTCACAACGGCCGGATGGTCTACGATCTTCTCTTGCAACCAGAAGGTTGTGGGTCCGGATCCCGTTGGAGGCGTACTACTAGAGAGTCCCGAACTAGGACGAAACAACTGTTCAGTTCTCCCTGGTTTTCAATGGTTCTCTAAATGATATCAATCAGTTATGAAAGCTGAAGCAAGTCGAATCCCTACAAACAAACTCTAGAAAATTCAAAGCCTAAAGTAACAGTGACGTAAACCTGATAGTTTGTTTCTTCTCGGCTAGGCATTTTTCTGATGTACACATCAGTGACCCTTACTAGAGGTCGAACCCACGACTTTTAATTGACATAGTGAGCACAAACTGATTGGAAATTATGAGTCATTAGAGTTCAACCCAATGAATGAAAGGTGAACGTGCTGCCGGAAATTCCTCGCATCAAGACGAAACAGCTGTCCAATGCTCTTTGTTTTCCAATACTTCGCTGGTCAATTTCGGTTTGTGATGAAATTTACACTGAAGAAACTCATCAATTCCTCACAAACGAAATATCTAAATATAAGGAAAGTTAGACATATATTTCAAGAAAGCTTCTAAATCCTTTAGATATGGGTCCCCAACCTATCCATTATCAATAGATATATGAATCAAATATACTCTTGCAATCAACAAATAATATCATCCATCCATATAGTCTAAATTAGAATTGGTAAAGCACCGGTGGCACAGTGATAGAATGCTCGCCAACCACACATGTGGTCCGGGGTTCGATCACCGGCCAACACACCCCTTTACCTCGCCAAGCCACTAATAAGAGGGAAGGTTGGGCATGAGGCTAGCAACACTACTGCTACCAAAACATCAAGCATCTAGCTTGAAGCCCTATGTTCCACTGGGAACGTAAAGGAATAAAAATAAGGCATGGATATTGAACAAAGAATACTCTTTTCGATAACTTCATCATCAGGATGGGGTTGCTAGCCTCATACCCACCCTTCCCTCTTTACCTGTCGTATTACTGGAGTGTGTCAGTCGGTGATCGAACCCCGGACTACATGCATGGTTGGTGAGCATTCTACCGTTGTGCCACCGACGCGCTTACTGAACGAATAAATTTGACATATTGTTTAACCTGTGGGCAGTAATCAGTGTCATTGTATCCTACCTTGAAACAATAAGCTGTTGACTACATGAATTGAATTTTAACGGAATTCCGAGTCAATTTCCTAATCTTTTCCATCAGAAAATAGTTCGTTAGAAGTCCCTATTCAGATGGCAGATCGAAAAATATGCTTTAAGATACCATCAGTTACTATCAGAAATGATAAAATACTGACTTTGTATGGCCTATCATTGCAAATCTTCAATATTTTTAAAAATAAATGGTAAAATAATATTAAAAATTGGAGATAAACTTCCACGATTTTTAGGTGTTAGGTTTGTACAATCTTCATCAATGTAAAAGTACATTTTCATGAGAAATGTTTTTCAACACTTGGATATACAGTTTAAATTTGATTATTATCATTCCATTGGCTTCCAAATGGAATATAGGGCTTCAGCAGCACCTCTATATTTCATCATGTTGTCTTCAGTCATTTTCAAATGGCTGTACGACTACTCATAAGCTTTATTTTCACTCTCACACGATCTCCTCCGTGTCACCGTCAGACAAACAATCAACTCATTGTTTCCCGTTCAAGTGCAACTCGAGGGCTTGGCTGGCACATGATGTCACTCGGTGTTCTCCTCAGCGTATGCTCAATCCATCTCCACTTTTTTGGAACATTTGTTGGTCAATAAGCCCTCGATTGACTGGTAGCCTTCCAGAGTTCCTTGTTGCTATCAGTCATGTGAGCTTCAGTATGAAGCCAACAAAAGCAGTTGTTGATGAAAGCCTGGATTAGTCTGTTGACGATGTTTTGGTGGCTTGCCATGTCTCTGAAACTTATGGAATCATTGACCTAACCATAGTGTTGACAATATTAATCTTGTTCCTTATCGTGAGTGCATTCGATTTTCACAGTGATTTCCGATTCATGTTTTGAGAGTAGGTTACTGCTAAAATGATTTCATCTAACTGCTCACTTTGTGAATTTCCGTGGACAATTAAATGTACAGGATTTCTGGATGTACAGTGGTAATGGTGGTGCATCGGTGGCATAGTGGTTAGGACGCGCACCGACCATCCACATGGTCCCGGGTTCGATCCCCGACCGACGCACTCCTAAACCTCACTAAGCCAGAAATAATGCTGGTGAAGAGGAAAGGTTGGGCATGAGGCTAGCAACCCCATCCTGTAAAATAAAGACTGCTACAGAAGCTTCAAGCCACTGGCTTGAAGCCCTATGTTCCACTGGGGAGCGTGAAGGAAAAAAACTGGTAATGGTCCGAAATTTCTGACAAGTATGAGTCAGACAGACATATTTTACCGATGATTTATATATATTTCAAAAGAATGGTTACTGAACAAAGAATATTCTTTTCGATAACTCCTTCTTCATCAGGTTCTACAGTTATACATACACAAAATACTGAATGAATTAGTGTTATTAACAACATCAGTGTTGTTTAAATAACATCGAATCAATAATAATAATAACAATAATAATATCAATGGATTACAGTTTGACAGCATCAATGTAACACTATACTGAATATCAGAAGAATTAGGAAAGATAATAATACAAATTCATGAATTTATAGTCTCCACTGACGTCCAGAGTTGTAGTGGTGGAGTAGGTCGTATTGATCCTTGTTCCAGGAACTTGATTTTTCGTTCTGGAGAACATCAACCAGCGTGGCTAAGTAAAGGTGTAGTGAAAACCATCAACAGTTCTAAATTAGACCACCTGGTCCAAAGCGGCCACAAAGCTAGCATTGGAGAATCCTTCGCCATCATCTATTAGGTACCAAAGAGATTTCCAAAAACATACAGGTACCGCATACTTCAAACAACAGAGGATATCGCGATTTGCCTTAAACAACCAGAGCTGTGTGTGCAGAAGAATCAAGTCCAGCCCTGCCCTGGCCTTCAATGGAGACTATATATTCGTTAATCTGTATTATTATTTTTCTTAATTTCTCTGATATTCAGTCTACTGTTATGTTGATGCTATCAAACTGTAATCCATTGATATTATTATTGATTCGATGTTATTTAAACAACATTGATTGTTATTAATAACACGAATCCATTCACTATTATGTATAACTGTAGAACCTGATGAAGAAAAAGTTACCGAAAAGAATATTCTTTGTTCAGTAACCATTCTTTTGAAAAAAAATTGAATGGGCACTTTTAATCTATACATATATATATATATATATATATATATTGGTATATATGTATCTTTGTAGCTGTAGAAAATACCTTTGTCGGTTGCGTGTTATTCGTGGTCAGCTACTTTCTGATGGTTTCCATAGTTATTTTTACACTTTTCTAGAGAACTTCTAATTTAAACTTGTATTGATTATTGTCATCGGTATAACAGAGAACTATGCCTTCGCGATTCATCCTTTGCGTACAGAGTACATAAACAAACTAATAGTGAAAGCGTTGTCAGTTGTTTTTTCTCGTGAATTGTCTCTCTGAGGTGCTCCTGTTTCCTAGCTAAGCTTGATTTATTTCTAAAAGTTACTTCATTACCCATTGGGGAAGAAGTACTTGTGTCTGCCGGAATTAAACTGAATTCAAGGTAGACTTCATCGCCAACCATTGTTATTTGGAAAAGTGTAATCAATGAAGATCCAGCTTGTTACTGAAATTGTTATTATTATTATTATTAAAATTTACGTCAGTTGATTCTGTTTCTATATGCTGACTGTTGGTATGGATGCTTCGATGCTGACCTGAGATTTACATGATGTCATCCAGTTGACAGTGTTTAACGGTGGGATCCAGAACGCACCTTTAATCTCATTAAAGGGAATACATTGACTCTCTGGGGATGCAAATCTATTCAACTGAGGAGTCCCAGATGTGACGACAGTGGTGTTTGGAATTCCACTGCTAGCTACTACCAGTCAAAGAACATTATTTTGGCAGTGTGAACAACTAACCTGTTGAAGGATCAGACGCAACACTATGTCAGCCTCATTCCTATTAACAGTCAAACCTTCTCAAGTCCACAAACTTTATGATAATTTACTACCTAATGATGACTGGCATAATAATGCAATTCCTGAATTTCTCGTGAAAAACCATGAAAAGTATGTCAGGTGTGTGGAGTTATTTATTGACTGCATTCGGTGGGGTCAGAATCTTATCTTGGACTAATGAACACTGACATGAGTGTGTTACTGAATTTTTAGCCCATATCTCAAATCTTTTGCTCAGGAAACTGACAATCTCAGAATGATGTGTCTTCACGAACAAATGATTCTACTGCTTGTTAAGGTAGACGCTGAATTTATGTTTTCTATTCTCAGAGGTTGTCTTTCTTCCAATAACCTTAGTATACAAAAATTACGATTCTACAAGAACTACTATTTTTATGAAGTTTTATTTCATTGAGTCGATGTTACAGTGAATTATTCTCTCTTTTTTATTCCTACTACAATACTTTACCAACCATACCTTCTTTCTGCCTGGTAACGGCACTTCTCTCTATGTCTGTCTTGCAACTCGTCACTTCCCATTTCAGATAGGCAGGTGATATCAGGTAACTGATGATGCATCCTTTTCATTTTGTAAAATGCTGAGGACACCCACCTCCCACATACACTTTGGACTTACACACTTACTGTTCGTTAGAGGCTCATGAGCACGGTAAATATACACAGAGTAAATGATGCCTACGTTTATTCTGTCTGTTAAAATAGAGTATTTTGAAAGTTAGAATGATCCGAAATATCAGCAAATATCAAGCTTGCAGTTTCAAATGCTCTTAAACTATTATCATTATTATTTTTATCTTCAAGACAATTATGGCTGCTTAGAAAATCTATTTCGACATGAACTTTTTAGAAGTTGACAGATATTCACTATTACAATAGTGAGCTATTCTTTGAACTCTGATTAAAGTGAATTCGACAGGTAGATAGGTATGGGAACAGACTGTTAACTAATTGTGAGACTGTCTGGGAATCCCTTGGATCGGAAGTCTACTGGTGATTTCATTAATGGTAACTGGAAGTGAATTACAGGATGAGAACCAACAGTCTCCGGACTACCAACCGGACCACTGGTACTTAAATAAGCAAGCAATTACAGCAAATCTGTTGGTGTAACAGTTTGGTACAAGGTCCACGATGACTTCATTGAGTCTTTTAGAATGGACTGTAGAATGGGTGACACGCCAGTAACTAAGAGTCTACTAATTCGAATTCTGACTCGATTCAGGTCTTCACTTCACTCCCACTGCAACTATCAAGTAGAACATCATCGAAAGTCCCAGATTGTCTCAGCATCAATCGATTATTTTTTTTTAGTGTCTGAAAGATTTCCAGAAAGAAAACCGCTATGCAGAACAGTATGTGACACTTATCACAAGTAAGTAATGCATATGAAGAAAATGTTTTAGGCTAAATAATTTTGATTTTGAAAACTTGTTAGTTTGAAAAACTTTTCTGTTGGAAATTATGCATTCATATGGTGAAAACATTCCCTACTGGAAAAGAACAGAGATGAACTACTGTTTGCTAAACGCTATTTCAAGTAGGTTGTGATTCGGCAGTCTCGCAATCTTACTTACTAGCCAACTAATGTAGCGAAAATTCCAGTAGACAAAACTTGAAATGATCTAATCAATACCGTAAGTAAGTTAATAAACGTCATAAAGTCATTTATTGGAGTGGAAGGAGATTTATATACATACACATACATACAAAATAAATAACCTTTGATTTCGAAGACCAACATGAGCGTTAAGTTTTAATAGTCGGCGAGTTAAATAAAGCTGTGAAAGAAGCGAGAGTACACATATATTCATTCATACGGCATGTTCATTATCACCAAAGTACCATAAAGGTTATTAATATTAATGATTATCGTGTCACTGATCATCTTAATTGTGTTCAGTAGTAATTTCGATTCTGCGATTGTTCCTTTCTTATCCTCTTGCCACGAAATCTTACCAACAATAATGAACAATTAACCAGGGTAGATATCATTCCAATAGATGTCAAAATTACACTGTAGAGAGAGAGAGATATTCGAAACAGAATTGAACATACAGATGAGTAGAACAAATTTTCTTTCTTCTCACTGATAAGAAAGTTAATAGTTCGCTTTCCATAATGTGTTGATGAAGTAACACCTTTATACTATCATTCACAAAACGTGAATGACAAGTTTTCTCTCTTTCTCTCTATCTCACCCTGTTTATTTCCGCCTTTTCTTCAAGATAAACACGCACACTCACACACACACATACAAACATACATGTATAAATGAAAACATACATTAACAGAGAATTTAAGCTCAGAATATTATCACTGGCTTGCTATAAGAGGATACATGAACATTGTAAAATGAATGTACAAGTAATTCACACTTAATTATTATAATTATTGTTGTTATCATAAATTTTGTTTGTTTGTTTGATTGATAGATTGATTGTTTGTTGTTTACACCTTCAGAGTGTCATTTGTCATCATTAAAATATACATCAGTGAATACAACTGGACACTGTTTATTCCACTCCGTGTCTTTTACTGTCTTTCTCACACCTATACCAAAAGACACACTGAATGAACGCTAAAAAACTCATTTTGTAACTTATAGTTCCTGAGAGTACACTGCCGGTTCAGAGATTTGACGTATCAGTAAAATGCATTTCCAACAGGCTAATGCAGATTTCCATCAACAGCTGCCTTTAATGGCTCCATACTGAAAACTAGACGGTTGGTCTGAAGGGATTAGCAACAAAGAACTCTGGAAGGCTACCAGTCAACCAAGGGCTTATTGACCAACAAATGTTCCAAAAAATGGAGATGGATTGAGCGAACGCTGAGGAGACAACATGGGCTAGCCAAGCCCTCGAGGGGCACTTGAATAGGAAAAAACCAGTTGGCTGTTTGTCTAATGGTGACACGGAGGAGGTCGTATGAGAGTGGAAAGAAAGCTTATGAGTAGTCGTACAGCCATTTGAAAATGACTGAAGACAAAAAGATAGCATAGAGAAGTCATGTTGAAAGCTTATATTCCAATCGGAACCACGGGGAATAATACAATAATAACAATAATAATCAGAAATCACTATCGATTCAGTGTTTTTCTGTCTACAAACCGAACACCAGTACCAAATACTTTATTAATAATCAGGTGTATTCTTGCAAAGCTAATTAGATATTTATTCTAATGACAGCCAGATACTACTCACAAGTCGTCTTTCAGTAATCAAAGTATCACGTAGAAGTCTGATTCATTTTGACTTCATTTGTGTGGGTGATGTGGCTAAAGGTGAACTGATGTTAAACTGTAAATCACTAGTGATAATTTGACTTCTGATTAAATGATTAATAACTATGACTTAGAGGGAGAGAGAGTGTGTGTGAGTAGGTACCGAATGAATTCGGTTAGTTTGACTTCTTAGGGCTCTTTTATGTTGACATAATTCATTTGTTTTGCCTTGTAGACTAGGTAAGGAAGTGTGGAAAGTGTTGAAGCTTACGTATTTTGTAGGGATATACTTACCGAGTACACTGAAAAACTCCCCTCTCACCAGGATAGTGTTTGTAGTGACCCGAAAAAGTAATTCAGTGCATTAAGGTGTATGGGTAATAAGCATGTAGTGAGTACACATCAACCTTAAAATCTGTTTAAAAGAGCAAGTATATGATATCCGAAGCTGAACTGCTTTCGTAAACTGAACAGCTTTCCCATAGAACTAGAAATATTTAGTGGTTTTGAGGCTTGGAAAAACAACGACCACTGGTAAGATTACATCAATGTAAAAAAAGCAACGACAGTTTCTGACACATTATTGAATTACAGTCCACATATAGAAATGGAATGGTCGATCTAAATTGATTACATACAAATTTGAAATGATCTACGCTGAAATTCAATAAAAAGAGTGCCTGAAACTCTCATAAGTGAAATGGGTTAGAATCACGGTTGCATAAGTAGATGCTACCAACATAGAACAATAAATCATTCGGCAGTAGTTCTAATTAACACACTTTTCATTAATGCATGAAATAACAGACAACAAAATCAAAAGCGAAGACACGGAAGTAAAAAAAAGTATAGATGCTATAAGAGAAATATGACAGGGAGCAAGGAGAGATAGGTCACTAAACAGCTGAATGTATTTGATATATTATGATAGCTCCTGAATTACGCCAATTAATGGGCAGTTGGATAACGCGTCCAAGCAAACGTCGTGGAAGTCGACCAATCTTTGTGCATATTTCAGTTTCGATGTCGAAAGTTTGCCAGTTACCAGTCCGCTAGAGCTGACGCATCTTCCCAGGTTAACTAACTAATCAAATCACTTAGTTATTCGAATCCTGTTATATCATATGGTTAACGACACAGACACATACACATAAACTTGTCCTAAAATATCAAGCGGAGCATGAGAATTGAGAGTATTTAGAAGACTGGCGATTTTCTGTTTGTTTGGTGAAGAACGGGTGTATTGTTCCAAGACTAAGACAGCACGCCAGCGTCATATTCAAACTCTGGACTTTCATAAATTTGGATTACAAATTTAGGCAAATGGATTTTCATCCAAACACTAATGGGAACAATGCACGTAGTTCAGTGAAGAGGCTCTTATCAGAGAATTCATATTCCCCTTTAGCTGTACAGTCGCATTTATGCGCAATCTCTTTTCATGAAAGAGGATACTAATAAAAGTAATGGGTTATCATAACCATAAGAGGAGTTGAATAAGTGTATTGGAGTTACGTGATAAAATAAATAATTTGATGAACGAGTTGTAATCAGCATGCACATAGAAACGAAGAAACATATAGAATTACGAAAGAGTTCTAAGGAAATATAAGAGTTATAAGGGGTAACACAAAACAAACAAAATAAAATTAATGGAAATCAACAAGGCTGTCACCATGATAGAAAGTGTGACTGAATAGGTTTCTCTTGTATTTACAACTCCAGTTTCTCTGTCTGAATGACTAAAGCTTCAGCAATGCAAACGAGACGAAAGCGAATAATTACCTTTCGCAGGTTGTTCTTCATTTTATAACTTTCAGTCATGGATGTTCACCCATGATATGAACAACTATTAGCTGTAGATTTC